ATCTATCCTGCCATCAGAAAACGTAAACTTATATGTTTACTGAATTCCTCAAATAGTAGTTACGGACTAAATACCTACTGTAATTTAAGCTTAGAAGAATAAAATACATATCAGAAACCTTTTGTACTTACCCCAGTGTTTCTAATCCATCTGTGAACTCCTGCTTGGAAAATTCACACATGGTGGCTGCCTTCATGTGCCAGGAGACAACTAACTGCATCAACAGCCCATCATGCCAAAAATTACCAGCCAAATCATAAGCATAAGTTGACAAATGTAGGCAAACTAAAAGCAAAAGTTCACCAAGCAAATCGCAAACATATATTTGAGTCTTCATTGCCTGCATATCCATTTCTTTTATATAGTTCAAGGTAATTTCACCAATGCCCCTAAATTTTAGCATGTGTCCTATGGTAGTCTCCAATCCTGAAAATGTAACATTTAACACCCCAGAAATCTTATTTTAGCCTGTTCCATAAATGCAATAAGCCCCACTTAGAAAACTACCGTATCTTCTGCAATAAGTTCCCTGAATTTCTGATGAACTTTCAAACATAATGGTTGTTAAGTTCATAGGGGCAGAACTTTATGGATTGAATTTTAATATTGCCGCAAAAATGATTTGGCTACACTTGGAAGGAACTTGGTAAGCATGCACATCTTGATCTGAAAAGATTTATGCATTCATATATACGTACCATGACTATATCTTGAGGATCCACCTGTCAAATTATGGAGGCTTACTTGTTAGTCAAAAAAATGGGGGAAAAAAATTAAGAAAGAAAAGAATCATAAGAAACAAACAACAATGTTACAGTCCAGTAATTGAGAGTTACTATCTGTACCAATCAGTTACCTGAAGATCGTTGCAAAGGATGCTGATACCATCAGCGAGTATCATGTCAGCACATGGATCTGAGAAAAATTATATTTCATCAGTAAAAGGGGAATTCTGCAAACCATATAAATTTAGTTTTAATAAATCACAAAAAAAAAGGACAAAGAAAGAAAACATTTGATGGATTATTTTTATTCGCCAATATATGTTCAAGTAACACAAAGTTGACGAGGAAGCTTTACAAAAACAACTCCATCAAACTTTTTATTATCTAGCATTTATATTTTAATCACAGTGAAAAGTCCATCATGCTCACTACTAAATTACTAGGATTCAAGTATTCGTCTATTACAAACTTGATACAATTTTAGACTGACACTTGATGGTTGTGGATTTATGTACTGATTTACATCTCCGTCTATTCCATTTCCTATGAATGCGATATAAAAAAGTGCAAAAGGTCTAGATTGAGGACAAGAATGAGCGGAAAGGAAGAGCTTGCCTTTATATCTATTGTATAATTCCTCCAAATGTCTAGAATCAGTATTTGTTTGCAACTGGGGCTGACTGTAGAATACATCAAATGCTCCTTCAAGATGCCAATCACTCGACTTCAAAGCCTGCAGAGCAACTTTTTCACTGAATATGATGGGAAGTTAGGCTTTTCAACTATTCCAAGAATCAAACTGAACTACTCAAGAAGAGGAAGAAAGAAAAAAGGTATGGAAGAACTCCACCAATCTAATACAAATCAGGTATGTGTGTGCACACACACTTTTTCCAGCTCAACTTCAAAAGATACATAAACAAGTAGACCATTACAACTGCTCAACTCAACCAACTCTAGCACAGTACAAACGCACATGTGTCCCTTAGAAAGGAAAAAATGATATTGAAGTTACATGTGACCCTTCATGATCAACAACTAAACACGCAACATCAACTGGTTCAAATGGGTGCTTTAAATATCAATGCATGACAGATGTAAGCTAGCAAAACTTCAACATCTAAATGGGTTTTAATAAAGACCCATGAACCTAGGCATGCTTATAAGATTCTTATATTGAGATACTATCATCACTGTGGTTAATGCATTTCATGTTACAGCAGGATTCAGACATAAAAACACTTATCACCTCTCACACAACCTGTTTTTCACAATATTACAACAAGCTTGTGACACAGGAATAAATCATTTAAGCTACACCCATATTTGTTTAGAATAAAGCCAAACTCAAAGAAGCATAGTATTCTCCAAAAACTCCTTTCTTAAGACAGACTAAAGAAAATTTACATATGATTATCGATTACCTCGCTCCAGTAATTGTTATGAACTGCTGGAGCTTTTCCCGGTGGCCTCTACCCAATTTGTGCTGTCAAAACGAAAAGGTGAAGCAGGTGAGACCATGAGGGAGAAAGAGAGAACAAAGCAAAATTATGCATGCATATCAGTTGTGGGTTGCTAATCATAAAGGTTATTTTTCCGTCAAGAAAATCTAAAATATAAGAGAATAGTCTTTAATTTCACATTAGAAAAGGTTTTCCATGGCAACAAAATTTATTTTGCATCAATTTGCTTCAAAACCTGAGAAACCAACAGCCTCTGCTAAACTGAGCTTTACACGGAAGAGAAAATAAAATTCCTTCACTAGTATACGTTCTCAAATTCAAAAGACACATCTCTTTATTTCCTTTTCCTCAGCTTTCTCAGCTGCCAAGCAGAGCGCTCAACAAACAATAACAACGTTATAGCCGCTACAAAATTGAAACTTCGACATGATAGCGGCAGAGAAGTGTTGCTAGAATTTGCAGAACTAGTTACATCCAGAACAAACCATGAAAAAGCAAAAGTGAAACAGTAAAGTTTAAGATTAAAGTACAAGTAGCAAAGCGAGAGGCTGATCAGAAACAGTATCTATACATGAAACCGAAAGTCTCAAATATATAATCCAACAAAAACAATGACATGAACAGAAATTGAAAATAAAGCTCGAAATTAGAGTACTTACCATCTTTGAGGTGGTTGATGAGGAAATCCTAGACCTTGAACAGCTCCTAGAGACAGAAAATTAGGTTTTACTCAATTTCTCTGTAATACGCGAATAGAGAAATACTGAATCCCTCTGTATCTATCTGAATGGGGGTCTGGGTTCTCTGTTTTTCCGTGTTTTTAATTGTTTTTTTTTTTTCAGACCAAAAAAAAAAAATTTCCTTTTTCCTTTGTTTTTGTTTTTGTTTTTCTCTTTCTTTTTATTGTGAGGGCCACATGTATTATATTTTGTTACCGCTTATAGACATGTGACACGACTATCTTTAGCATGCATTAATCGTTAGATGCGTGTGTAATCACTTTGAAAACTATGTACAAATGGTTCGTAATCACTTAATTAATATGAAATCTTGTTCGTTGTTAAATGTATTTGGGATGCGTTGTGAGAACCACATATATTTTGCTTTATCACCACTTATAAACATGTGACACAATTGTCTTTAACATGCATAAACAGATCAATGCACGTGGAATCATTGTAGAACCTATGTACAGATAGTTCGTAATCACTTAACTGATATAAAATGCATTGGCTACTAAACGTGTGTGGGTTCCACTGTGAGAGACATGTGTATTCTAATTTGTTAGCATTTATAAACATGTGACACAACTACCTTTAATATGTATCAATCGTTAAATGCGTGTGAAATCACTGTAAAAACTATGTACAAATGGTCTGTAATCACTTAACTGATACAACATGCATTGGATGTTGGATGGGTATGAATTCCATTGTGAGAGACACATGTATTCTACTTTGTTACCATTTATAAACATGTGATATGGTTGTCTTTAACATGCATCAACTGCTAAACGTGCTTGGAATCACTATAAAACCCATGTACAATAATCTGTAATCACTTAACTCATACAAGATGCATTGGTCTATGAGTTCCCATGTATCTATGTTCCATAATTACTTATAAATTAGTTGATCATTAAAAAAAACTTGCAATTAGTTTTTGTTGATTCTTTGTGAGATTTCCTCTCATGAGGAATTTGGGGTGTTCGTCAAATTGAAAATGTTAACATTTTCAAAATTTGGCATATGATCAAATGTAGTTCTAGTTTTAGATTTTACAATCCAATTTGACGAAGCTAAGGCTTAAATCCAATCCGATCATGTTGATGGTTTTAACATTTTGATTTAAATGAATTGGATGATCCATTGTTTAATACAGGGAAAACGAACTGAAAAGTAAAAGAAATTATAATCAAATCAAATACAATCAAAATTAATAAGAAAAATAGATGGGAAATGAACATTTTATTTTTGCATTTTCTAACTGTGTAATACCTTTCATCTTTATAGAATGAATTACCTACGACCCTTCCACACTTAAAAATCTGTGTGTGTATTTATTCAAATTCTCTCATTTGCACGACTCACTATTGCAAATTGTTCAGCCCATGCAAGCATGATCAATGGCTGGACTTTTTTTAGACTCCAAGATTGCCCAATCTCAAAAACCATTCAACTCAGCCCAATAAAGCTGGTCCAGTATGTAACCATGTCATTCATTGGTACCAAAAAGTGTAAAGTTTTTGTGGCCCAATATAGTCTTCAGTTTTTTCATTTTCAACATGGCGCCTTCTCGTGGAAATAAAGACTCCTAGGTTTCTGTCGATTATAGTTTGACATGTGTGCAGAGAAAATTTCTTTTTGTATTTCGATGAATTGTCAAACTGTGATTTGTTAGAGCGAGGTGTGTCTCCTTCCAGGAAATAAGGCAATCGGGCACATCTAATGAATGCACACCCAAATTATTATAATTTAATATGCGTGGTATGAACAAATTCCATCCACACACATTTGATATATTCGTTGCACAAAAGTCAGCTCTTATGCTCCAATAGGCAAACATACTCAAAAATCATCTTCGGTTTCCTGAAAACTGCTGCTAAAATATAACTTTTAAGAGTGCGTGGTATCAGACCGGCATTGTCCATGCTTATCTACTGATTATAATATTAATTTCAAGTTTCTATCAGATTCTTTCTCTACTTGGGTTAATGGACATTATAGTATATAGTACACTTTGTATATCTGCCTATGTTTGCTTTATATATTGAGCTGCAAATGCTTGCCTTCCTAGCAAATTCATTCTGCTGAGAAAAATGGTGACAGATCTTCGAACAGATTCTTCGGATTACCGGACTGAGCTTCTGTCACCGGACGTGACAGGAGAGGCTGTGACAATGCCAACTGAGGCAGCATGGAGGCTCAATATGGATGGCTTCAAGCTTCCAGACAGAAACAAGGATTCTTATTTTGGCTTTGGCTCTTTTATTGAGTCATTAAGTAAAAGCTCTTATGTCCTTCTCTTTATGCAGTACTTTCATACACTTTATGTCAATTTAATAGATGTCATTGACAAAGACAAATTATATTTGTCTTAAAACTTATATTAACATTGAAATTCTCTCTATTGCTATCACAGGGAGGCAAAGAAAAATTGCAGAATATTACAAGAGGCAGAATAAACTTCTCAAAGGATTCAATGAGTTGGACTTATTTTCGGAAACGGGGTTTTGGCCTGGAAGTTTAACAGAGGTTTGCTGTTAATTTGCCTTAGATTAGTGGTAATTTGCAGCTATAAAATGATCTCCACTAATTCAAATCTTGAATTTTTCTTAATTATTGCAATTTGCATACAAACTCTTGATTTCAGGATGAGGTGAACCAGCTTGCAAGAAATGAAAGGATAGCAATATATGCATCTAATGTGGCTAATTTGGTGCTTTTCCTGGCCAAAGTGTACGCTTCATTTGAGAGCAGATCATTAGCAGTAATAGCTTCAACATTGGATTCTCTGTTAGACCTCTTGTCAGGGTTCATTCTTTGGTTTACATCCAATGCAATGAGAAAACCAAATCAATACCGGTACCCGATTGGCAAGAATCGGATGCAGCCTGTGGTAAGCATATCCAATAATTTGAGGAGACATCAGACAAAAATATGCACACAGGAAAAGATTTCAAGCTTATTAAACCAATATCTTTCTAGGAGCAACATTTCAATATGGGAACATGATACCAAACTTGTCAAGAAATTGCTTCCAAAGTTTGTAGGGAATTTTTGTACAGTATGAGAACATTTCACTTGCAATTTTCTCCATTCATGTACTAAATCTCAAATGCATTGCAGGGAATTGTTGTTTTTGCATCAGTAATGGCAACTCTTGGATTACAAATCTTGTTCGAATCGGGACGGCAACTTCTCACAAAGGTATGTAGGAGTTCATCAGTTGATAGTAGAGCAAGAAGTCTTGAACACAGTCAGTGACTCAATATATATGATTATATCTGCATTTCCAACTCATTCTCCCATAGATCAATATGGTTTGCAGCATCAAGTTTTTCTTATTGAGTGAAATTTTGAACACCAAAAATGTAAATAAGTCCTTATGAATTTCTTTCCATGTAGGCTCAACCTGATAGGGACCCAGTGAAAGAAAAATGGATGGTAGGGATCATGGTGTCTGCCACAGTGGTGAAGTTTGTGCTGATGGCATATTGCCGTAGATTCAAAAACGAAATTGTTCGAGCATATGCTCAAGATCATCTATTTGATGTCATCACTAATGGAATTGGTCTTGCATCAGCAGTTTTAGCAATCAGGTTTTACTGGTGGATTGACCCTGTTGGAGCTATCATTGTAAGTCCAAGATATTAATTAACACCTAATTTTGTTACAACACCATTTTGGTCTCTGTGTTTTGAATTTGACAAATTTGGTCCTTGTCCCTTTTGCCTAATTTGACATTAACATATTAAAACACGGGGACCAAATTGGCCAAATTGAGAACACAAGGAACGAATTGAAAATCCGAACAAAACACAAGGATATCTAACCCAAAACTATTTTATGGCAACAAGTGTAATTGATATTTGAAATACAATGCCTGCAGATTGCTTTGTATACAATGGGAAATTGGGCAAAAACAGTGATGGAAAATGTGTGGTCACTGATTGGGAAGACAGCACCAGCAGAGTACTTGGCAAAGTTGACATATCTGATTTGGAACCATGACAAGGAGATCCAGCACATTGAGACAGTGAGAGCCTATACTTTTGGTTGCAACTATTTTGTGGAAGTTGACATAGTCTTGCCTGGGGACATGTCTCTTAGTCATGCACATAACATTGGAGAAACACTTCAAGAGAAGCTTGAAAACCTTCCTGAGGTTGAAAGAGCTTTTGTTCATGTGGACTTTGATATTACTCACAGGCCAGAGCACAAGCCAAAGTTGTCTTCATGATCAAGAAACACAAAACAAGAACAGTAGCTAAGTGTTGTTTGAACTAGCTCTTTTTTCAATTATTAAAAATCAATCCCAACATTTGAAGAAGGGAATTGAACATAGAGTAGGCCACAGTTATTGAACTACTTGTCTGTATGAATAAAGTTTAGATGTTTATTTCGGGCTACTTGAACTTCAACGTGTTCGGATAAAAAATAAAGAAAGTAAAAATTTGGGATGGATGGTTCTTTTTCAACCCAAAGATTGCTCTTCTTATCCACCTAATAAAATCATCATTTGACGTTTTCCGTTTTTGCCACCATGAACACTGCCGGTCAGTGCTCAAGCCACGAGAATCACGACTTTTAACATGGCTGGAGGGAGGAGTGAATGATAGGAGAAGAGAGAAGGAAATGAGACAAGAGAAGGGGAAAACTAGCTTTTAATAGAAGAATCCAAACCCTAAGGCATACACAAAACTGTCTATTTCACTTCTAACAAGCAAACACAAAATTGAGGTTGAATACAGGAATCTAGGTGCGTGTGAAATGGAGGTACATTATCAAAATCTCATCATTCCGATTCATAAAACAAAACAACTGTGACAGTTCTTCACAATCAAAATCTTATCATTCCGATTTTCTCAATTCCTGATTCAATATCAAGACTTGAACAGCTACATCTCCTAATCTAGGGGTACAAAATATCTGGCAAGGAACCAAATGACTAAGAAAGTTGAACCCAAGCAAATTCTTCTTTGTAAGCCACACTTGCATCACAGGAGGCTTCACATGTATAAACAGCAATTGTAGCCCAATCAAGAGAGTCCACGTCATTCTTCACATCAAAGAAAAATAGCAACTGTGGCATAATCTGAAGCCAAACAAAATACATACGGTCAAAAAACCGACTAGAAAGAAAATGGCAACTGCAAGCATAAAAGAAATTAAAATGCAGAAACTTTGAGTTGGGCTTTAACCATAACAAAAAATTGTCAAGATCACATTCATGATCCAATACCTGAAATTCAAAACACAATGGACCGGCACAATAACTGCATTTAGGAATATCAGCCTTGGATGGACGGCCACTTGACACAGGCCATAAGGGTTTTGCACCAGGAATTCTACAATACCTATTAAGTGGAAACAAAAAAAAGTAACTGATCCATAATTTGTAAAGTAAAATGGGGTGTAGGAAAATAGTGATTATGATTTATTGAAAATATAAATAACCTCAATACTTGCTCAGGTGCCAGGGCTATGCGCTCATGGAATGAAGCCCAGCTCTTTCTGTCATCATCACCCTTTTACAGGGGTATAAACATGTAAGAGTTTAAGCAATTAAACATGAATTTTCTTCTATCAGGGGTAAAAAGAAAAGAAGAAAAGTGGAGAACACAACTTTCATTTCTGCCTACAGAAAGGTAACATAAATGTTAGACTGTGAGATAACAAAGATTAATACCTCAAAATTCTCAGCTATTGACATTAGTGCATCATCTGTCCGATTACTAGACACCAAGGAATTAGAGCATACAGTATCATCAGGCATATCTGTCTCGTATGAACTTTCAGACTCCTGTATAATTTTGTACTCTGGCCATACATTGTTGCTTGCAACTGTTCACAAATGAAAAATACATAAATACAGGTTCTCAGAAAGTCCTATTCTATTCCTATAACAAGGAAAAAGCGCTGTGCCTTTTAGAAGTACTGCAGGAGTGGTTTCATCAGAGCTACTGTCAGCCAACTGAGAATTTATCCTCAATCGTTGACAATCATGTTCATGACCAGTCCGAGAATGCTTGACCTACAAATCAAAGAAAAAATTTGGTAATCTCTAGGGATGGCTGTTGCTATTTGAAAGCAAAAAAAAAGAACATAGCAGAAACCTAACAAATCAAATTACCCAATGTTTCTCTGAGCAATAAAGTGCTCTTCTGCAACCTGTACAGCGTTTAATCCCCTTCCAGCTGCCACACCAATTACAGAGTGCAGCTAGACCAATAGGAAAAGATCATCAAAAGAGCCCTTACATGGCAGAACATGTTAAATAAGGAAAGACTGCTTACTGAATATATCTAAGCAAGGTTGTATGTTAAACAATCAAGCAATAATTCAAAGGTCAAAAGCTAGCAACTTTAAATGCAAAGTTAAACAAGATGCTACCTCCAGCCTTAAGAGGCGGGTCTATACTATCCTTCTTTGGTGGCTCACTTGAGTAGAAAGGATTATCACGGGGTAATTGGCAGCGGAAAACCTTCACACTTCTGAAAAAAAAAAAAAAAAAAAACATTACATAATCAGAAACAGAAACCAAAAACCCTTTGGTTATAGACAAAATAGGAAGAACAATACCTTCTAGAAGGCTTGTCCTGATGGCATTTCCATTGTTCATGTTGATCTCGACGAAGACAAACCATTGATGTACACATAAAAACAAATAAAGTTCGATGAAATGCAGATTGCTTCTCCTCTGGTGCATACACCTTGTAGCCCAATAATCAGAAAGACTAAATATCACAACCATTCATCTTTTTATTGCTTAAAAAGGGCAAAATAAAGATATAATTTTATCAATGAAATTCAAGTATCACCACTCACCTGAAGCACAAACTGCAAAGGTTCATCACATATGTCGCAAAAACAAGATCTTCCGGATGGCAAATTTTCTGGATCCAACCAAGCCTATATGACAAAGAAAAAACACCATTAAAGAGAAGTCTGAACCGTAAGTAAACATAAATTGAAGGGTTTAATAGCATACGGGAACGCCTCCAGCCTTGGAAGGGAAGAAATGGCGAAGAAGAGAGCGGGCTGTCTTAGGCTTTTTCACAAAACCTAAAACCACAGAGTTTCTTGCTTCTTCGTCTTCTTCTTCTTCATCATCTTCATCAATAACAATATCTTGTTCATTTTGTTCTTCTTCTTCATCGCTTTCATCGTCCAGTGAGGTGATTCGAAGACCCTTAAACTCTTCCGTATCATCATCTTTCAGACCACCAGCCATTTCCTTAGGCAATTTAGGCTAAAGCAGCTTTTTTTTTTCAATCTCAAATTTGAATAGACCTTAATTCACCTAAAACCTGATTGTACATGAAAGTTGAATGATACTTTTTGTTCAAGTACTGAATTCCAATAAAATGTAAAACAAACAATTATAGTATTTGTATGGACTTGGCAGGAGAAGAAAGAGAAGTCAAAATAAGAATAATAAAAATGAAGAACCCAAATTTTGTTATTAAAAAAAAACACCCAGTAACCAAAATCTGGTGAAGCATACCAATGAAAACTAAATGCACAAAACTCCCAGATAAAGTATCACGCAACAGCAGAGAAACCTCAATTTAAAGAACTAGAAAACACAAGCAGATAAGTAGAGGCTTATAGGTCCAAGCTAACCAGTAACATATCCATCCAGCCAATCAATCAAAACAAACATGACTTAATCTAAAAACCCAAATCAAAATCAAAACTGACAGAAATCATAACACAAATACAAAATCAAAAAGTGAATCAACAAACCCTTAAATGAACACAGAGTCGATAGAGGCATTACCTGTAATAAAAAAGAGAGCTCAAATGACAGAGAAAAGAGACCCGGGATGGGACGGCTGGCAGTGGCGCAGCTGGTGAAGCTATGTGTACTGTGAATTATCAGAAGAGAAGGGAAGAAGGGGTTAAGGCTGGGTTTACGGGTGGGCTGGAATGAAAAATGGGCCATTGAGAGAGTGAAACCATTTCTCTAAGCAGGCCAGGCTGAGAAGTCTGGGGTGGCTATTAGGCTGCCGGGCAAAAACAATTAATTATTTCTGTGGTGAAAAAAATTAATGAATTCAAATTGCATTTGATCTCTAAATCCGTCACTACTTGGAAATACATAATATATTCTAAAAAAAGAAAAACATCATCTATGTCCTAACATTTAATTGTATCTATACTATTATTAAGGGTTATAACTAATTAGCATTTTAATAAAATAACAAATATTTATTCTAATATTTTGTAATCTACTTATAGATTATGAAATAGCTTATTGGTTTCTTGAGATAAAGGCGATAATGCATTTATAATTCAAAGGGCTCAAAGTGTTAATTCAAATAAGGAGGAAATCCACCGACAATACAAGCGCCCAAAGTGTATCTCCAAATACAGCTACAAAAGACTAAAAAGATTTCGGCGTAAAAGTCGCAAGCCTTATATTCAGGCATAGATCACAACACACCTCAATGCCCAAATAGCTATTGTTTAGTAATTCTCCTTTTTTTTTCTCTTTTTTTTTAAATAAGAAAAATAGAAGAAGAAAAACCGACACACTCCCGGTTAATGTTGAAGTAAGTTCGAGAGCAAAAGGTTTAATAACATTTAATAAGTACTTTTGGGTTTCATCATGTTTAATGTGTCACAAAATATCCAAATAATTGGCTTTCCCGTGCAATGTTGTGTTTGGATTGTGGCTGATCGTCAGTATGTAAAGCATGTGTGACTTTATCTAGTTTCTTCAATTGGCCTTAATGCATCCTTCATATTTATGTTGCAGGTTCCGCCATATTCTTGTTTAAACTTTTCTAGTGGGAAGCAAGTCAATCATGGCGCTTGGTTGGGTGCCATATACCATGCCTCTTGCAAATGGGTAAACATTTACACTCATTCGCTTCTGCATTATAGAAGAACAAATGATCACCCATTTGATTTGATATTTGTCACATCAAATGGCTAAAAACATATGAAATTATGAGCCGATCACTTACTCCTTAAGTTTTATTGAATTCAAAACATTAGGCTTTTAGGAAAATCATAAAACTATGTGCTACATGTAGTAGACTTTTGCCGTGTTATACTTAACACTAAACGAAATTGCAAAAGAATTATAGTTTAATTGATTAGGAATATTTAACCCTATATTTAAGATTCTAGATACGATTACTCCTTCTTTAACATCGCTTATATATATTATAAAAAAAAACACTAAATGAGGTCACTCTAGAGTATGCATTCTTGAGCCAACTTCACATACACTTATAGTTGACTAAGGTTTATAATTCTAATCTAAATGAACCAACGTGGATATCAACTCCTAACAAATAGAGACGGGATATCTCATGTGTATTTTCCCCTAAATTAGGTAATGGCACTGTTTAGTGGGTGGTTGGACATCCTATTCCCATTGCTTTTGCCAAATTGGAGCACATGATTTTCTCAAGAAAGGAGTCTTGTGCTCAAAGAAAGTTTATAAAATTAAAATTTAAAACAGGCATAAGTCTATCCCAACAAACGTTTGTCGACATAAAAGCAAATTTTTTAACTAAGTCTATGTCGACAAAAAATCATTTAGATAGACTTATCCCGAAAAATATTTTCAAAATCAATAATAAACTTCCACACAAAAAAAAAAAAAAAAAAATCATAATAAACGAGAGGGAAAAAATGGTTCAAATATTTGAGTAGGAAACCCCTATACTTAGAAATCGCTTAATATAATTCACTATTTTTGACCAAGTATTTGAGTATGACGAGGCATCCAGATTGAAAAAGTGTGACACTAACAAATAACATATTAATTTGTGCTTCTGCATGATTGAATCTTTATCAAAGGATCGGCCAACTTTTTCCTACCCAGCCATGTAAATGGGATATAAGATAATCTTCAAACATTACTATATAATATTCTTTCGATCACCAAAAACTTTATATTTGTCGGGCTTTGGCTGCACCTCACCTAAACCATACTTTTGTTCCAAGTGGAAAACATATCTCATTGTTTAATATCACCTCAAGGTTTTCCACTAACCTCTTAGATTGTTCCTATGAATTATTTGAAAATCGCATCCATTGCGGGCAAGCAATATTTTGTTTTTCTGGTCGATTAATATATATAGTCCCTTGTTATTAAGGGATTCTTTAAATAATTTTATTTGAATGACACCTTTTAGGGTTCTCTACAAATATTTTTTCAACAATTTAAACCATTTATTTGTTAAGTCTACATTCATAGATCATCTTTGCAAAAAATTAGATAAATTGGAACCCGTTTCGATATCCAATTGTGTCCTACAAAATCAATAAACATGGTGTTTTAAGGAAGTACTAAAATTTCAATAATTTAATTAAGTTGTCAAATAATATTAGATTCAAGTGATTTTTTGTAGAGATGATCTTTCAATTAATATCTACAAAATAGACGATTTAGATTAGTGAAATACAATACGAAGTGGGCTCTACAAAGATGTCCCTCAATAGAAGTTATATATGTATAGCCCTGACCTCTTGGATCACATGGATCCAAAAGTTATATATGTATATTAGTCATGATCTCTTGGATCACAGGGATCCAAGAGATTTGTGGTTACTCACTGTTGGATGTTAATCGAATGATTCAAAAAAGTTTCTTAAAATGAGTGCAAGGGTGAGTGAACTGTTGAATTTACATCCAACAGTGAGTGACCACAAATCTCTTGGACCCTTATAGTCCAGGAGATCAGTATTGTATATATATATATATATATATTTTTTTTTTCTTCTTCTCTAGATATCAACTACAGCACTTTAGGCTAGCCTATATATAGCTGTCCAAGAGCTATGTGTGCCTACAAAAGCAGCAACCACCATACAAGTTATCTTGAAAATTACAATATACCTTGATTAATTTAAATAATGCTTTCGTAAAGCAATGTATAAATATGTCCAATCCCATTACTTGACCACGTCGCTCGAAACCGAAAATCCCAATATCAGAGCATATCCATTATATAATTCTTTTTATTATTTCTAATTCTTTTTGTTTTCCATGAATTAGATGGGCATCTCGAGTCATGAGGAGTCAACAAGTGGCTAGAGAAACCTGGACACGTATGCTGACAATGCCAAGAGTGAATATATGTTCCATGCATGAATATACTACACAAATTAAACACGAGACTTCATCTCCATCTCCGCCTTCCCCGACTCCCATCCTATCCCTCATCTCTCTCATTTTGTCTCTTCATGGAGACTGACTGCCGACCTTTGTGACCTTCATATAGAAAGTCATGCCACCTGAAACAGTACCGAATCCCAAACAAGTAGGCCGCATCGCCTGTACGCAATGATCAAGGATCTCTCTAATTATTAGAGCATTCTTTTTACGGTAAGTGGTTGCATACTTGTGAGCATATTGTGATAATGGCATTGGCAGAATTGTGATAATGGCATTGGCCGAATTGTGATAATGGGAGATTTCTTGTCAATCAAACATCATCACCCGACCCTGACCTAGAGTCGTATCTAAATGAAATATGTAGTTGTAATATAACTTGAGAGCGAAGGAAAGATTGTTTCCCTTTTTTTTTTTTCTTTTTTTTTTTTGGGTGTGTGGGTGACTATGCAAAAGTGATTCACCGAAAAACTTATTCCTTCTGAAAGTGGCTTTTGTTAGGACTTTGGCCATTGACAAAGGGAAGCTTCGTTGGACAATTCTGAAAATGGCACACAACTGCAAACATACTAAGGAGGAAAATTCACATATGACACATGCATTCATTTCACCGTCACCCACAAAATCAAATATTCTATTCTTTCCCTTTTGAGCTTTAACATTTTAACCTTTTTATTTTCTTGGGAATTTTTTATATCTTACTTTTCATATTTTAAATATAAGAAACATAAAGTAAGTTTAGTTGTGTTCCATAAAAATAGGATCCGTGTTCTCATCTTGTTTTTAGTTAAAATAATATTAATTTCCTATATTATTCTCGTTTAATGGATAGTTTTATTTATTTTTAATTATCTTCATTAATTATGAGTATTTTGTGATATTTTGAATATATATATATATATAAAGTAAAAGGCAGAGTGTTTCATTATTCTCTCTATCTATATATAGATATAAAAACAAACAGGTGTTAGTTTAGATTGGCCCAAACCTTTGATGCGCTCCTAAGTGGTGGTCTTGGATTCAAGCCCCTATAGTACCCGTGTGTGTGAGTTTTTCCCATTCTCCCTTCTAACTTGGGGGAAAAAAAATATAGATAGATAGATATATGAATATATGATAAATAAAAAGATAGATAGATACCTGTAGCAGCAATATTTAAAAAAGATCGTAAATATCAGAAATTCGTAGTTCTCTCCACGTATTGAGCGGAGGTGGTTACAAACTGTAAGTTGGCATTCCGGAGAAGAGAGAAACTTTCTGCGTCTCCCAAAACCAAAAGAGACACATTCACACACGAACAGTTTTACAAACGTTTTGATTTCTATACGCAAGAGCGTTTTTATATATTCAAGAAACGTTTTTGTTTGCGCAAAATGGACAAGAGTCCGCCCAGTTCTGGAGGCCCTAGTGACAACAGAATGGAACCGCTTCTGGTGTCACAAGACGACGCCGTACCCGGAAGGTCCTCGTGGAGACTCGATGTGAAGGAGTTTCGGCTACCCCAGCAGAGCACTGCAACAACTGCAGACCATGACAACGGACGGCGTCGTTTTGCTCTCCATCGCCTCTGCTGCACCTCCAGTAAGCCTTCTGTTCATCTTTATTATTGTTACCCATCTTTCTCCATGTGTTTGTTTTGCCCTGCATTTGAAGTGTTCTTGATGATATTGATATTTCTGTTGGTGTTGTAAAGTAAAGGTTGAATCTTGGAGTTACCATCACAATTCACTCTGTTCGTTCTTTTCTTAAAAGAAAAGAAAAGTTTGA